GCTCCTTTTATCGTCGTTTCATAAGCTGACGTTCGGTAAACATTGCGTAAGCGGTCGCCGAGTCCTCGCTGCCCTGACGACGTCACTGAAGTCACAACGGCAGATTCGACGTACTTTGCGCTTCCCGTGCCTAGTGCCTAGTTTTGTCTGCAAGTCCGTCGTACTTCATGCCGCTGATCCTGCCTGACATGCGTTGATCCTCTTTTTGCCGCATGACAACCGTCTTCCTCGAATTTTCCTCACTTGCGGTTATTCTTGGTGCGGTTTTTCAGATTCCAATTCATCGGCTATAGCAAGCGAGTAACTTCGATTCTTTTCAGCCATTGCTTGGCAACCAGAATATCAGAAGTCTACAATAATCGACAAAAATTTTTGTCTTCATAATTATACAAGAAAATCTTGTAGAAGGTATTAACGCAGCTGTCAAGGGTTCATCAAAGTAGGGAAAAATTGAGGATCCATGGAGTGAGTGGTTGAATTTTCATTTTGTTCCGGTCGAATGAAGAACGAAAGCGGCTGTGGTGTTCTGTGAGCGAGAACGATTCTGAGTGATATCGCTGTTAAGAAAATGAGCAGGGTCAACTGTTATCGCTACGTGATGGCAGCCGAATCCATCGATTTTAGCTACCGTACGGTAGTGTACGGTGTAGATCAGTGAAATCTCGATTATGGCAAGATGCAAGGCGTCCAAATACAGACAAATCTGACTTAAATAAATAATCCAGAAAGGAATATAGAGAAAATTTACTTGTGGAAGTTTTGCTTAGAACACCTACGCTATTCCCGCGCCACCTCACAGCGGTCTTCCATACACAAAGCAAAGGCATATGAAAATAAAACATTTGTTGAACAGCTGTTTAAATTTAAAGTTGACGTTGACTGATATCGAAGAACTGATTGATTGACATGGGGATAAATTATCAAACAAAGTACTCATTGTGTTAGGGGCAGCAAAACTTGATGAAGCTGAGCCTGATAAGTGATCAAAACCTTTCGTGATGAAAGATATGACAGTCGCGCTTCGTAAGGTTTCAACAGAAATGGCACGATTAGAAACGATGGATCCCGATGCCTCATGGTTCATTAAAGTCCAAGGAGAGAAAAGTTACGCTTAACCCTATTATGGAGTGAGTTATGAAGAGATGGGCCATCCAAATTAAGCATTTTTTGACTTTTCCATTTTTAAAACTATTTAAACAGTACTATATTACCTTACATCAATAATTATGTATTAAAACCTGATTTACGTATGATTCACGTCTGCCATAAAGGAAACTTACAGGAATAACCTTAAAAACACGTTAATGCACCACTGTGTACACGTATGGTCGAGATGTAAGCAATTCGATGTGACTAATGGGCTGTGACTAGTTAAGCCGACACGTAAAATTCCTAATGGCTAAGGGTTTTGTGGAACGCAACACCTACCTAAGTCTGGGTTTGCCTGTATATTGTGACGGCATGTGTCAGTACTGGAAAAAGTTGCTGTGAAGGAGTTGTTCCATTTATCCATACATGTCCTCACCAGGTCGATCAAAGATCACGCGTAGCAA